AGGAACGGGCACGGGGACGGGACAGGCTGCCCTTGCTACAGCTGCTGTCCCAGCCCCTGCGTTCCCCGTGACCTGGTTGTGCCAGAGCCTGACACGAGCCGTCCAGGCAGGGCCCACAGGGGTGGTTCACCACGCGACTGGCATCGCTGCCCCACACCATGAGCCCTCGGCTGAGGGCAGGAGATGGATGGGGAGGTTTCCTGGGGCCGAGGGGCTGCAATGGGCCAGGTGGGCAGGCGGCTGGTGGGCTAGAGGAGGCACACGCCCCAGAGCCACGGTGGGTGTGCCGGGCGTGGGGCCCGTGGTGGGTGGAGGGCGCTCCAGCAGTGCCGCGCTGCTGCCAGCCCTTCCCCTTCCTGCCCCAGCCCTGTCCAGCTGCAGTTCATCCACCGAGGCGATGGACTGTCCACACTGCCTTCCCACAGGGGCACAGCTCACTCTGCTGCTGTGACCCACAGCCCAGGGCCAACAGCCCCCAGACAGCCCCTTCCAGCCCTTGGGCAGCTGTCCTCAGCCTGTCTGTCCTGCCCCCACGGCCCCTGCCCTGGGGCTGGATGAGGAGCCCTGCATATGCCAGACTCCTGGCAGCATGGCTCCCCAGTCCTGACCACTGGCCCCCAAGGGACCCCAAAAGCCATTTCTCTGCCAGTCCCTATCCCCACTGACCCTGTCCCCCTGCTCAGCAGCACTCCTGGGGACCGGGCTGTGCCACACAGGCACCAAGGAGGAGGGCTTTGCCCAGGATGCCAGGACGAGCCCACCCGTGGCCGTGGTCAACTGGACAGCTCAGCTCGTGGGTGAGTGCTGGGGTCTGGCAAAGGCTGGGCAGCACCACAGGGTTGATGGTGCCCTGGCTGGGGCTGGCTGTGCTCCACAGAGTGACCCCTCTGTCCTCTGGCCACAGATTCTCAGTCCACCCCCAAAATAGCCAGGCTGTGCCACAGAGCCCTCCCTGGTGCTGGCTGCAGCAGGGGCAGCTGGCAGCAGCCTCCTCTGCTGTGGTGCTCCCGGGCATCACTGGGGCTGCTGCAGCATTTGGCCCCCCCTGTGCCCGCGTCCTCCCCTCGAGGGAGGGATGGGCTGTGAGGGGCTCAGTGCCTTTCCCCTGCAGAGGAGACGTACACCAACATCACGCAGCAGTGCTGGGAGTTCTTCGTCGACCTGATGAGGAACGTGAGGGTGCCGGAGCTGTGCGAGTGGAAAGTCATCAGCAGGTCTGGGGCGGGATGGCCACAGAGCCCTGTGGGGTGTGGGTGCTCTGACTGTCTCCAGGGATGTCCCCAGCTGAGGAAGCTGCACTTGGAGACTCCTTGGTGGGGACATTAATTAGGACCTTACAGTCCCCACAGCCACTCAAGTGGAGAAGCTCCTGAGACATCAGGGAAATATTTGACAGGAGCAGAGCCCCAGGGCTGTGCCAATGTAACATTGATTCACAGCCTGAGGGAGCCTGGGCTGCCTCCCCTGGCCCCCAGGAGACATTAGAGCAACTTCCAGTACCTGAAGGTACTGGTTCCTTCCCAGCAAAGATGGGAAAGAACTTTTTTATCAGAGAGTCTAGTAATTGGACAAGGAGTAGTGGTTTTAAGCTGAAAGAGGAATTTACATTAGATAATAGGAATAAATTATTTTCTGTGAGGGTGGTGACACACTGGCCCAGGTTTCCCAGCTGTGGCTGCCCCATCCCTGGAAGTGTTCAAAGGCAGTTTGAATGGGGCTTGGAGCAACCTGGTCTGATGGGAGGTGCAGGGGGTGGGACTGATAATCTTTAAGGTCCTTTGAGCCCAAACCAGTCTGTGGTTCTGTGATTCCCCTCTGGCAGCTCCTGCCTGTATGGGGCTGGCTGGTGCAGGCAGCAGGGCACAGCTGGGTCATCTGGCAGGCACTGCTGGGTCAGGAGAGGCTTGGAGTCCATGCCCCCAGTGCCCCCTGTCTCCCCACAACCCCATCCCGTCCAGCACTCCCATGTTTCTCCCCAGACCCTACAGCCTGCTGCGGGCCTGCCTGGAGGCCTGGGCTGACCGCCTGCACTACGGCTACCCCAACGCCCTGGCAGAGCAGTACATCTTCCAGAGCCACCACCGCTACTTCCACAACTGCACCCTGGAGCACCAGGTCTACTTCGACCCGCCCGAGGACGTGCTGCTGGCCATGATCATTGCCCCCATCTGCCTTATCCCGTTCCTGGTCACCCTGGTGATCTGGCGCAGCAAGGACGGAAAGGCCCAGCCCTAGCGCCGAGGCACCGCTTTTGACGGCGCCCCCCGGGCTACGGGGCTGGCGGCTGCTCGAGCCCCCGGGGGGGCGGGGGTTGCTCAAGGGGCCGGCAGAGCCCCGGTCCCCCGGGATTAAAGGCTTCTCCCCCATAACCGCGCGTGCTGCCGGTTCTTCCAGCGCCAGCAC